CCACGGGGTCGGCTCCCCTTGCAGCCTTTCGAGGGGCGCAAACCCTGTGCCGTGACTTAACCCTAGACCCTAGGAGCAGGCGGACATCCCTCCCGGGGGGGGGGGGCGTGAAGGGCGCCCCCCTCCCTGGAAGCGATGTCCGCCTGCTCCTAGGGTCTAGGGTTAAGTCACGGCACAGGGTTTGCGCCCCTCGAAAGGCTGCAAGGGGAGCCGACCCCGTGGTTCGTGCGAGGCAATACAAGCCTCTATCACAGCACACTGGCACGACAAGGGCGCAGACTGGCGCGGACTGGCACACACAAGAACAAGAGAAAGCGATGCGACCTAAAGCAAGCGCTCAGCGCCGCTGAGAAGGCGAGAAGGCGCCGCGAGGGCCTTCTCCCGACTGGCCGCTTCTCCAAGCAACGCCGGCTCGCGAATATCCGATGGTCGGCTGGAACTCTCACCTCGGCGCAGCAGCTTCTCGTGACCACCATCGTCAACACGAGCAAGAAAGAGCGCGGTGGCGAGGCGCTCTTCGGTCAGAACAGTCTTTGCCATCGTGGGCAGCCGGCAAGGCTATGATGCCCTGAAGCAGCTCGTCGTAGAGCTCGCTGCTGGCAACGAAGCAGATCGCCGAGGACCTGCCGCCGCACGCCCAGCCGTGGTCCTGCACACAAAGGGAACCAAGCACAACGATTCAGCGGACGGTGGGCATTTCTCGCTGCTCGTGTGCCAAAACTGACGAGCCGTACTGCATGGAAGCGAACACCATGAGCGAGAGCGAGGCTAAATTCTACACATCCGTTCAGATGAAGCAACTCAATGTCCGTGGCTGAACTATTCTGTTAGCTCCGAGTAGAGGGGGCGTTCCGCAGCTAGGGGAAACCCAAAGCGCAGAGCCAACCCTCGGAGACCGTGTTTACTTTACGGCCCTTTCCCTGTGCGAACGCGCACCCCCCCAGGGCTAGGGCTCTCTAGCCCGTAACCCGATATCGATCATCCGGCCTGGGCTGAGGGTGTGCTTCTTAGCCCCCCGGCCCTGGATGTGCGGTTAATGACTCGTGCAACTCCAAGTGCTCCAAGTGTGCTCTCCAAGTGCTCTCTTCACACTTCAGGACCTTCGTAGGTAGGGGCTACGGGGTGTGGAGGGTGAGTTGAACAAGGGGGTTGTGCGCCGGGCCCTCCTGCTCGGCAAGACCCCTGTTGATAGGTCCAGGTGATAGTCCTGGATGGGCAATGCATACGCCTCACTGGGCCTTAGATCGCCCGACCGCGTCCCGGTGCTCTGCCGTCGGATTTGTGACTCCGCCGCACCGCGCCGCGGCCGGGGGCCCTCCGGAGGCCGAGGATGGCCGTGACGGACCGGGACGAGCTCTGGGAGGTTCAGTGTCAGTGTATATATTGTAGAGACCAACCATGTCCACAATATCTCTCAGTCTAGCTAAGCCTGGGAAGGCGATGCCGGGGCCGTACAGCAGCTTGATGCATGCCGCCGAAGGGGCGCTGTCGAGGTTCGCCGAGCGCGGCGAAATCGGGGGACGCCGTCACCGACGAGCGCGTTGTGGTATTCACTCCGGACAAAGACGGGTACACGCACACGAGCCGCGGTCGTATACCCGTCTTAGCGGCGAGGCGCGGGACCGTCTGTGGCGAGGTGGGTCGCGTCCCCCGATTTTGTTCAACCCAGCATCCACACCCTTTCGAGCGCTAGGGCTGCACAGGGTAAACCTAAACGCAAACGGAAGTGCCCGCCTTAAAATTCTTTTTTCTCACGCCCCCGCCTCACAGTAACAAGAAATTTAGCGGCGCGCAAGTCTCGAATTCCCGGCCACCTCAGCCCGCGGCGGGTTGTTCTCGCAGCGCGCACCTGCCCTCTGTGGGCGAGAGAGAGAGAGACCGAGGCAGACGCCCTCTCAGCGGTCCGCGCGCGTCAAGCATCCCCGCGGCGGCCCGGCCAGCGTTGCCTCTCCGTACTCCGCGCTCACTTGCCCGCCTTGATCGACTGGCGGAAGCGCTCGAACTTCTTCACGTCCGCCGCGGTGACCGACTTGCGCGCCGTGAGCATCGCCTCCTCAAAGTGCGCGCGGCCGATCTTCGCGCACTGCGCGGCGACGGGGAGCCCCGCACTCGCCTCCTCGATGTTTTGCCGGATGGCCAGCTTGCAGGCGCGCTGC